CATGATGACTAATATCTTAAATTTATTCTTGAAAATTTGCATAGAAATTCTTAAATAATTTACTCTTAACGATTTTACCCATAATACATGAAGGCCTCTATTTGCGTCATTAATTAGGAACGCAATACGAAGCAACATAAATCAAAACAGTTTCATGCGTACGTGTATATACCTTTAGAACTCTGCTCTGCTCTTACGAAAAACCCAAGTTATTGCTAATGATAACACATCATCAAAGAAATATATTAGGTCGAAGAGAAATTTCTACCCAATTGTAAACAAAAAATATTTCATATATTTTCGAAGTATGAGAGCCAAAGCTCGCGTACCCATTAAAATCACTAGCGTCACATGCTTTTATTTATTTTCTTGAAAAGTTGAGGGGAATAAAATTTATTTTCCACCTCTTAGTTCACTTCAAGGTTTTGTTAGGAAAAAATTAACCCATCACGACGCATCCATCATAACTAAATTAGAATTAACCCACCTAGCATGCTCTCCAAGTTCTTCACAAATTTATCTCACACATTAAGGTGTCTACCATAATTAATTTAGTATTAACACGTTTAACTTGTCGCCCTCTACTCTCTAAGTGCTTTCATTTGATACCCATATCGATGGTATTATTAGGAACAAACTAATCCTCCGCGTCGTGATGTCCACCGTATTTATTTGAGAACTAAAGCATTGTTAGGGAAATAATATATCATCATTTGAGGCAAGTTCCAAACAATTTTTTAAACATTCTGTCTTGTTTACCTTATAACTAACAAGCATAAAACGTCAAAAGAGTAACAGAAAGAGAATTTAATCACTTATATAACTCTATGTGAGCATGGACGATTTTTTCCATTCTTGGATCTTGGATCTTGGATCTTCCATGGCGGATGATTTTCATTTTTGCGCGTAAAGAATATACTGTTTCGTAAAGTAAATGCGTAAAATTTCAGACTTCAATCTTTTATGATTTGTGCATAATGCACAAAAAAAAAAAAACAATTATTTTGTTTAGAAAAATGGAGTTGTGTTCAGCTTACGCTTCGCTGCGGGCTCGTGCTCTCGGGGCAATTTTGGCCAATTTCCTGCCAATATTTCTACCAAATTTGAAGTCGATCTCTTAACTTTTACGACCGAGAGAGTGTCAGTAACATACACCAAGTCGACATGTAAGCCCCAAAGGCGGACAGACATGCCTTAGCCAATTCACAATATTATGCTAATCAGAACTACATCTGAACGAACGTTATGACAATCACATCTGTGACGAACGTGATGACAAAATGAATGTACCTCCATCCTTCTTCAATGGTGCGTGTTAAGAAAAATTAGAAAAAAATTGTGTCAAGCTTAATAGATTTGAACCACTCTTGGGAAAATGGCTAGAGTAGTAGGATATGTGGCACTTTGCCAATAGAGGGATAGACAATGTCCAGTGCATTAAAATTACCCCAAAACGAAGAGAAATTCTCATCACCAAATTGCGCTGCATTTATCTCATTGAACCATATGTGACTATTAAAGAAAAAGGTTTCGTTTACCTTCTAAAACAAGAACAACAACACAAAAGTCCCTAGTGCAATAGGAATTTATTGAAAACTTTATATATCGGGATATGGTGGGTGGTATCGCACCCGCATTAGTTTGTTTTATCGAGACTCCTTTCGAACTAATCTACAACTCATACCACTTAGTATGTGCCTTGGGTAGTTCTTTCGACATCTAATTCCTCGCATTTTCTCTTCGGAAGTCCGTCTGCCTTCTCTCTGGCTATAGCAATAGGAAATATTAGAAATCGACGAGAAACACGACAGAACTTTTTCTTTAACCTGATATGTATACATATTGAACTTTACGGGAAATGTGCTTCATTTCAATTTAAGCAATACAAATACAAATACAAATAAAAGTGTTAATGATGTTAATTCATGGAAAACAATATCTGCCCCAAGTATTGCGAAAATCTGAACTGACACTTTTTTATCTTTGATAAAAGCCAAAGACGAATTATGGTAAGCGTATATAAACCCATTAGAAAAGGTGCGCCCTTTAGTTCTTTACGACCTCTCAGCAGGTTAACAAATTTGCTTTAAGTAAATAATAAGTATAACTAAATAACATGCGTAGAAATTATAAATCCCACACATACATATATCGCTTTTCCAGTTGTATAAATTGCAGACGATTCGCATCTTTACAGATGATCATTATTTTCTTTTGGGTAGAAGATATGCTCAAAAGGGATCACTAACTATTTTACCCTAAACAATTTAATTTGTTGTTTCTCTACAACTTGGACACTCCTTTCGAAATGTTTCAACAAAATGAATTTCTAGTATGTCATCGAAAGCCTCCCATTCAATTGATGAAGAAAAGTGTAATAAGATTCCAGAACTAATCTACGATAGCTTAGATTATATTTGCTTAACAATGCGCCTCACATCAAACATTCCCTAGAGCGAGCTCCTTAAGACAAGTACTGACGAAAAGTCGTTTAAGCGAACATCGACATCAGTTCACGGATCAAGGATTCCATTAAAGCTTAGTCGCGATTAAAAATCCTTACATTATCCTCCGTTCAAGTTGAAAAACTTACTTTCGGGCCATGTGACTATTGGTCGTTAAGTCCGTTTGCAAATCCCACTAAGTGGGAATAAGCAGCCTTTTATTAGTTAAAAGAGCAAGTAAACCCGTAATAGCCGGGCAAAGTTGACTATCAATTGTCCTACATCTACACTTTAGCTTATACGATTTGTCATCTATTTATACCATGAAGCATCAAAAGCTGGGCTTTGTTGCCATGTAAAGACGCATTTCGCCTGAGAACTCTTAAGGAAGAAGAATGCCGATGAACATGAAGCAATCTCATCCATATTTAGTGTGAATTTTTTTCTCACAGATTTTGCTGTTCTTCATTCATTTTCAGTACAAAATAATAGTAAGAAATATCGGGCTTTCTTATTACAAAAAGACTTGGTTTGGGATTGGTCAGAAGTCGAAATCTATTCAAGTCAATTTTTATCATAATATATTAAAAAGCACATGAAAAAAGATTGTTTTTCGCAAGAAAGGGAAAGAGATTTGGAGCGGATTCAAAAAACACCTACATTCTCACTTTTTTTTACATAAGCGGAAATAATATTTTTTGCTGATTTTCATCAAGAAATATTAAGAATATCGGTTTCTCTCTTATAAAAATTTTAGTGAAATAGTTGTTTACATGGGTCTAGAAACAATTTAATGAATCCATTTTCATTTTCAAATTCATTCTCGGACCAAACATATCGCGAACGTTACAATCTTTACGTAGTATGCAGAAATGCAGGTAATGCAGGATATTCCAGCAGGCAGACACACTGATCCACTTCTGAAATGATTCGATTGTTATAAGAAAATATGGAGATCTTCTTTAAATCCCTAATCGAATTGTTGCATACGTCGCCATGAATTTAATGTGCCCTTAGCACTAATCATGTAACTTTAAGCTAGGAATCCTTGCAAAACGTCTGAAAGAAAGACTTTTTAAGTACTTGACCTGATTCGCGTAGGGGTTTCTTATTATGATCTACTGCATAAAGTTTAGAGAATAAATAAATTTTATATGTATGTATGTATGTATGCATGTATGCATATGCTTATATTTGTATTTATGTAGGTATGCAAAAACATGCAAAAACACACGCATACACAAATGCAAATGACTCATGATAACTAGCGAACTGATGGAGAAGGTGTCAAACTTACACACGTACGGATGGTTATAACAGCCGCAAGCATCCTTTTCGTCATTAGCTTGTTGTTCTTATTGTTATTGTTGTTGTGTATAAATATGTAAACAATATTTGCACAAAGTAACTTTTCTGCTTTTCGTTTTGTTTTTGTCTTGTTGTTAGTGTAGCGATAACTTTACCAAAGCAAAAACACACACACACACACATGCACACGAAAAAAGAAACAAAAACAAGAAAAACGTATGCAACATGTTGTGGTTTCCTAGACAAACAATAACGCACATTCACACGGTCGTGCTCCCTCAAATTGCACATGCATACACATGTACACATAAAGGTGGATATGAACTTATGTAAAAAACCTCCCCTTCCTCACGCTATTTGGAAACGTAGCAGCAGCAACAGCAGCAGCAGCACTTTTTTAATATTGATTGTGTTTACACAACAGCAGTTTATTAAAAGCGGATTCTGTCGCGTTCTTCCTTTGCATACGCATAAATTAAAAAGCAGATGGGTTTGCATGCATGCATCCAGGACATACGTACGTATATGCAGAAAATTGTAATTTTGAGCCAACAAAATCAAAGCAGCAAACGAATACGCTCCTATCTATCTACCTGAAAAGGTTTCTCTATAATTAATTTTATGAAAAATTCCTTTACAGTTTGGCATGAGCTTAATTAAAAAAAAAAAAAAAAAAAAAAGCCTGCATCAGGAAAACGTTTTAAATACATTTTTGAAAAGAAAAATCATAATAAAAACTACATTTTGCCGATTAGGCGTTAACCAGGCTTTGTTGCTTCCCCATAGCCAAAAAAAAACCTTAAGTAAACAAGATTTTCTAAATATTTTCATCAATAGCTTGTAAAAATCCTTACTGCTGTTCATCGATAATGAAAATGGAAAATAGAAAATTTAATTAAAGAATCAACTCAATCGCACGCTCATAGTTCTCCGGTCCACGCCGCAGTTATTAATTTTTTTTTTTTTTTAATTCCATTCTACGTTCGATCAACTGTCAGTTTTGAATACGATCCGTAATGTAACTCGGAGAAATCATAATTTTTACATATCACACAAGAATAAAAAGAAAAAACTCGTCACAAAACTATTTAGAGATATTGGCGGACATTGTTCGCGCATCGTTTTAAAAAAAGTGTCAATTGAAGTGCAATGATTTATGAAAATACCCCTTGGTTTATGTATAAAATTTTGTTAAAGCGGAATAAATTAAATTAATAAAGTAAATAAACTAATTAATATTAATCAGAAAGCAATACGAAAATGTTAAGTTCAAGTGCAACTGAAAGCTACAATGAAGTGAGCCAAGTTGAGCTTTTCAACCGCACGGATCCTATTTACTCCATTAAGCCGGACTTCATAACGCAGTGGTAAATAAAATCATCCTTTGAAAAAAACAAAAATTCCCCAACATTGCCCAAATGGAACGTCAAATATTTGCATAGATTTTAAGCCTGAACTACCCCTCTTTAGAAAAGCGGTCACTAGTTTGACGAATACATTACAAAATGCATATGAACAACCGCGCTTCTTATTGCAAATATCGTTTACGGAAAGAGGGCAAGAAATACCGAGACATATAAAATTTATCACTCCGATCTGGAAATATACTAGTCTGGGGACACGCGCACAAGCTCTATAAAATCTATGTACACTTAATCGGGGTAAGATTCTCACCGCTGCAACAAACAACCACAACAAATTTCCCTGTACTAGTTTTACAATTTAAACCATTATTAATTCATTCTTTGCCGGTTGTTAAGCTCCTCGCCTTGAATATATATTATCCTTGCTCGCAAGGTCAGAGTTGTGATTTACGGGTCAAATTTCTCTTAAGGAGTGTTGCAATTTAATGAAATGAAAACTTAAACGTAACCTAAGCTAAGGCGGTATGCGATATCTTGTTCTCCATTGGAACTATCGTTAACCCTTTCCCTACTGGTTACTGAGTTCGTTGTTTTGAATATATACTCTTCTTGCTTGCGAAGAACCGATAAGTTGAAAGGTGTGTTTTGCAATTTAATTGAGAACTTAAATCTAACCTAACATAATACAGACGTCTTATATTCCTTTGGAGCTAGCATTAACCCTTTCTTTACTGGGTATTGAATATAAGCTCCTCTTAGTTTAAAGATAATCTGAAACGGTAATAACTCATTTAAACTTTTACTATTAATTAACAATTTATTCCCTTCCATATCCAATAGGAGGCATAAAAAAGAACAGGAAAAGCTATGCCGATATGTCTATAATCATTTAGTAGAGCATACTAATTGCAAACGCATTCTTGAAGCTGCGCAATTAGGTAAAGTTTTTATCAGAAATAATGGGGATTTAAATGCATGGAATAAAGGAGATCTGGAGCAATTAATGGCATATATAAATGAAAGTGTAAATGCAACTAACACAGTCCCCGAAAGTCTCGAGCCAGTATTACCACCATTTGAACTATGGCAGACAGTGGCTATAGCGTTATGCTTAGCTATTTGTATTATACTGACAGTGGGTGGAAATATTTTAGTGCTGCTTGCCTTCATTGTGGATCGCAATATACGGCAGCCGAGTAATTATTTTATAGCCTCTTTAGCAGCGACTGATATGTTAATAGGTAAGAGCACTAAATGTAAACTAAATACACTGTAAATCTCTGGCATCTATTGTTTACCTTTATTGAAAACTTTTAAACATTTTTAGGAACAGTCTCCATGCCGTTCTATACAGTTTATGTTCTGATGGGGTATTGGGATCTTGGACCATTACTTTGTGATTTATGGCTTTCGGTAGATTATACCGTTTGTTTAGTCTCTCAATACACAGTATTACTTATAACAATTGATCGGTATTGTTCGGTAAAAATAGCAGCCAAATATCGAAGCTGGAGGACAAAGAGGCGGGTTATATATATGGTGACAATAACTTGGATTATTCCTGCCTTATTATTTTTTATTTCAATCTTCGGATGGGAACACTTTACTGGAAAACGTGATTTGCTGCCTGGTCAATGCGCTGTTCAGTTTCTTAAGGATCCAGTTTTCAATACGGCCTTAATAATTGGCTATTATTGGACCACGTTAATTGTGCTGTTCATTTTATACGGCGGCATATATCGGACTGCCTACGAAATGCAAAAACGAAGTGAAGCCAAGCAAAGAAAAATGCAATCTATGGTCGCTTTAAGTGCGGGTGCCATGTCAATGGGTGTGGCGGGACATGCAGCCAGCATAGGGGTAATTGAAGAAAATATGCTTAAAACAAAGCCAAACTTTGAAGAAGATTCTGCTTTAACAAATACCAAAAAATTATCGGACGGACAATCAAATACTTTAACACATACTATGGGGTCAATTAATGGAACTTTACAAGAAGACGATATCAATGAGCGGATTTCTGACGAAAAGGTCAACGACGAAAGCAAAGCTGAAATGGCTGATGTAGAAAAAAGCGAACGTTCAAGTAGTCCGGCTTTTGATTCCGATGATGAAAGCTCAATTAATCAAACGCAGCAATTGATTAATCAACCGAAATTACCAAATTTGGGTAAACGATCTTCAATTGGTTTAATGTTTGGTGCACAAGCGGCGTTGCTCGCTACTAAAAGCTTATGCACACCCACTACATCAAAATCTAGTGAGGCAGTCCCTTCATCATCGTCGGGTAAAAGTTCCCCACATCTGTGCAAAAAATCAGAAACTAAACAGAACAAAGATGAAATCCATTATTATGGAACAATTGATCGACCTAAACGTTCATCGTGCGCTACACTTTCTCAAATTGTGGAAATAAATAAATCAACTGGGATTAGCCAAGGCAACCTAAATGAAACGACTAAAAGATCCTCAATATTAATAAATGATTCAACTACAGAAGAGAGTTCTGATCGTCAAATCATCCATCATCAGAGTTTAACTCAAACTATTTTGCCACCACCAGAGCAATTTCAATCGAACTCACCATGCCACGAACCAGATACAAATAGTGATTTGCAACTAACGTATGACTTTATGGCGAATAATTCAGAGTTGCAATTCATGGATGAAAGTTCAATAAGATTAATGTCAGCAACAACCAATGGTAGTTTAAGTTATACCCTTGATAATCCGGTTCCCTGTGAGAAGTCTCACATAGAAGCCAAATTCAATGCAGCGAGCACCTTAGTCAATACTACTACACTGGAGAAGAGGGATTTAGATGCGCAATACGAATATCAAGGTAAATTTTTTTCCTATTGGTTGCGAAAAAAAAAACAATAAAAATCATGTGAAATCTTTTAATGCAGATTTGGCGAACATCGAAAAAATTCCTGAGAAAGATAACGTCAGTTCGACAGATTTCACAACCGCATTGCCGCAGGGGCATGCAAGGCCGCTGAATGCAGGAAAAGAAGATTCTCGAGAATACGCAGTCGACAAATTGGGTTCGAAACCAACAACAGCTGAAGAAACAATCGAGAAAAATCAAGTCAACGCTAACACACCACAAGTTACTTCATCTACAAAAAATTCCGATTCAGACGATTATCTAACAACGGAACAAACTGCCGAACAAAATTTAGCAAAAGAATCCAGCATAGAAAACAAGAATCAGAAGAAGAGAACAACAGACCCGACATCAAAAGATATTGGACGAAATTCTAGTAAAAAACACTTTATCTCCTCTATAGGTAAACATTTTAAAAGTAAAAAGGCCACGATACCTTTAGTTATTGGAGTGGGAAGACAAAAATCAAAATCGGAAAATCGGGCACGAAAAGCATTTCGTACTATATCTTTTATACTTGGCTGTTTTGTAGCCTGTTGGACACCTTATCATGTGCTCGCCTTAGTTGAAGGCTTCTGCAGGCAACCACCTTGTACCAATGAACACTTGTATATGTTTTCATATTTCCTCTGCTATGCCAACAGTCCGATGAATCCGTTCTGCTATGCTCTTGCTAATCAACAATTTAAGAAGACTTTTACACGCATTTTAAAGGGAGACTTGCACATGACTTAAATAAATATGTAATTAAAAAAAAATATATATATCGACAAAGAGGGGTCTTCGTGAAATTAGATACAATCTAGACGTGTTGTCTTCCCAATCCTTTACATTTCATAAACGCAATTCAATTAAAAGTTATGACACAAGTCAATTGTGTAAAACCTATGTATCTATCACTTTACTCTTTTATATACGAGTATAAAATTGAACTCAAATATTCTCAATTATAGCGATTGATCTAAACGCCGTAGCTACTATCATATTTTGGTAGTTGATTAAAAAAAAAAAATACACATGTATTTTGAGACTACGCGATCTGTTGTAGACATATATATACATATATATATTCTCGTATTAAGTTGTAGAGATACATATTATTATGCTTTAATATTAAATTTTAGACAATAATCAAAGAATAACTTGTTACACATTACGTAAGATCTGTTTTGAAAGTACATGAACTCATTCATATTTACATTAAACGCAATTATTAGTAAAACGAAATAAATTTTCGTATTTCAACGGATGTGCATAAATATATATCGATTTTAAATTTTCCAATTTCCTAGGAACAATTTTTCTTCTCTCTAGCTCTCTATAATGCAAAATTACAATCGACGAACATGGCTGCATGTAAATAATGAAATTACGGTAACTACGTTCGACAAGTCGTTTCTTCTTCGAACTTCGTAGTTGATAATTTGATTCTTTTATTTTTTGTGATAATTTAATAAATTGCTTTATTTGGTTAACGTCCTCGTACATCGCAAACATTCGGTATTTTCAATCTTTTGCAGAGAGAGTCCTATTATCCAGTTCCTAAGCAACCAGCATGCTAAATAATGCTGTACGTTCGCGCTCATTGAGACCTATCTAATTTCCGTATATTGTTTCAGGTAAGGTCCACTTTGGACTGAACACGTTACAAGAGTTATTAGCTTAGAACTATCAATCCAATGTATCCGATTCAATCTTCTGAGGACGTTTAAGCAAAGCAATTTAAATTAAACGCAAGAATGCAGTTTAGATTCCCTTGGTAAAATCTGGAGTCCAATAACGATGTACGTATGGCATCCAATTAACGATGCGGATCATTTTCCATTTTATTAAACCGTATCAGGTAAACAGTGTAGAACTTTCTGAGATTTCGCAAGATTCTTCTCTTGGATCTTAATTGGATTTGACGTATTCTGGTAGACATCAATCAAAATTGAATGACGTACTTGGTGGCGACTTCAATGCTGATTGTGCGTCTGATTGGGGCTGCTCCATTTGTGAAAACATCTATATTGATTTTAGGTATTGTCACGGTTGTGCTACTGTCAACCTGCATTAGCAATTTTTGGCCGACATGTATTGCCATTGGAATTTTAACGGCTACCTTCTCTACTGGCCTGTCGTATTTGAGTGGATCCAGTCGCATATTAGAAGCAATATCCAAGGATCAAGTATTTGGTTCATGCTTGAATTTTATCGTAAAAGACACATGGAAAGGCAATGCAATTGTGACTATTGTAATAAGCTAGGCTTTAGTTGAAGCTATACTTTCGATTGGTTCTTTAAACAGCAATGCCCAAGTTAATTCGGTGCTTTTATGCTCTTATATCTTGCCACTAATTTAGCCTCTTTGGGTATTGAATTGACGGGTGCTCCGAATTTTCACCCGCTATTTAAATATTTCACTTGGCATACTTGCTTGTTTGGCTTATTAGGTCACGTTAAGGTCGGCGATGATGATGAGGAAAATAAGCGTTGGCTTTTATATGTAGGTAAGTAATTGCAGGGATGAGAGCTTCTAATTAGATAAACGTTTCCTTATATCTACATATACTCTTTACTGTCAGGTATTGAAGCTATGAAACCAAATCGGTCTATTTATTTATTTTTTTTTATTTTGTTTTATTTTACCCATTTATACAAAAAATTCAATTAAAAAAATTACAGTCGAATTTAGTGCATCTTAAGAGAAAATCTTATACTAATTGTTTTAAAAACTAGTATACAATAAAAAGGAATATAAGAAGAAGAGTAATAATGAGAAAGTAAATTACAAAGTTGAAAATAATAATTCATGTATAAATAAATAAAAGGGAGAAAAGAAAAAAAAAAGAAAAAAAACATGTACAAAGCGAGCACAGAAGCATACCCGCAACAAGAACAGATCCAGGTTGCAAGTGAACCCCTAAACCATTGCAAACATGCATAAACTTGGCAACGGACACGTTAACAACACTATATTATTTCAAATAAAAAAAATAAGATATTAAGAATGAAATGTTAGTTTAAGTACGACATAGGTAAATCGCCCATATTAAGCAAAGTTGCTTTAATATACCTTAAAAAGTCCGGTAATGAGAGTAAGAGATGGACATCATTTTTTTTCTGCAAACAACTCTGAGCGCGTTAAGCATCTCATAATTGCATTTATATTGACTAGGCTTAATCAAGGTAACGTGCCTAGAGAAGCGGTTAGGGACATTAAAGCTTACCTCACCAAGTAATGCGGGCGAGTCTATAGTACTTTCTATCTATTTATCACTTGAATAAGAAGGAAACCCGAAGAACAAATCTATCTTTCTGAAGTGACGGTAAGGATAATAGAAAGAACCTATTTTCATAGGGAGGAAGAGAGGCAATCGGGTCCCAACCGAAATTCCTACGGGTAAACAGCAAGAATTGCTTTTCAATAGATTCAATGGAATCTACATAGCACCTATGTGAAGGAGACCACACAACAGAAGCATGCTCGAGTATAGGTCTAGCCGAACACATGTACAGCCTTTTCGTAATCTAAGGATCATCAAGCTATTTGGACCCCATCTTCATAAAACCAAGCGCGGACCTAGCTTTGCTTAACGAGAGCTCAGTATGCAAGTTAAAACGTAACATATGATCAAATAGAACGCCTAAATCTGCGAACGAATCGATGAAATATTGAGTAATGAATGACTTCCTTCTTGAGAAAGAAATCTTCTTTATTATCATTATTTTGGGTTTCTAGGACAGTGAAACTCCAAAGGATTTCTTCCAAAAGTTAGTTTTAAATCTTTCGCTTTTGCTAAAGGTTTTTTTTAGTGCCGTTTTCTTCCTTTAGATATACTTCACCTTACAAAACGGATGGATTCAATATAAACGGCTTGCCTGACTTTCCTATTCGACGTGATGATGAAACCAAATAATCGATATTAAGGAATATGTTTACATTTTTAGTGATACTTTGCATATGAAAAAAAATGTATGCTTAAGTCGACATTTTCATCGTTTAGGTAAAGATTTTATAACCAAGTAAGTGAAACATTAATTATACTTTATAAATAATATTAAAGAAATTTTTCTTATTTTAGAAGTAAACATTTAAATATATTGACGGTTGGCCCATTAATGTTTTCAATCCTAAAACCGAAGACCCCTTCGATGTTGTTCCATTGTTTATGCTGCAATTAGCTGTTATCATTGACATGTTGGCGAAATTGTTGGCGCATTTGCGTTCGCGCATCTTTCTATATGAAGTAAACAACACCTACGAAACTCATGATGAGACTTATTCCTCAAATGGAAATCTTTAATCGTACAAAACTTGAACAATCTTTAAAGAGTTTAAGAATTAATACGGATATCTTAGAGGTAGCAGACTTCCAGCATTTTCCATGCATATATGTTTTTAAAATTTTAATTTTTTTTATTTTTTCGCGTGATACTGATATTAGTCGTAAATCTCGTCTACTAAAGCACTTTATAAGCCAAACTGAGCATTCATTGAAGAAAACTTAAATCGTTCCTTATTGTACATGCAGAGGTCAGTAGGACAAAAGTGCCACTTTTTTTGCTACTTAACTCCAATGCCATTATAAGTAATTTTTGAAACGTCCAAATAGGAAAGCTACGTTTTCTAAAAGCATTTTTTCGAGCAATGAAAATTCTTCATGTCTTTGTGAACCTCATCGTGAACCGAAACAACTATTGATTTCAAATTTTAGACTGATATTTTTTCTGTAAAATTCGTTGCCTATTTCCCAAGATCTTGAAGGCTTGCGTATCGTAAAGTCTATTGTTTTAGGATCAAATCGGGGATGCATGTTTGCTATAGGTTGTCTATTAGGGTTTTCTGTTCACTGCGAACGCGACTTTAAGCGAACTAATTTCAACGTTTCACCTCATAACCAGCAAACATGAGTGTTTGACGCTAAAAACAGAGCCTCTACGCTAATGTATCCCAATCCTTCGAAAAATGTTTAAAAAAACTCTTCGTAATGTTTTACGTATTAACAAGTAAGAATATTACAGCCCATGGCCGCTTCGCTTAACACAGTTATACATAAAACGACTGTTCAAAGTAACGCGTTACATGGGACGTAGTCGAGAAAATTTACGACCCGCAACACGTTGCACGGATTTTCAAATACAATCTTCATGTGATTATTGCTGTAAGATAAAAAGAAAGATGAAAGGGAAGATCGTGACCCTTGCAAATCGTTAACGAAAGTCGAACTTCGATTTTTGCTTGTCAAACCAAAATTTTGGCAAGCTTGTCGGCGAACATTTTCTTTGCTGAGATCTCTTTACTTTCTACGCATTTTGCTATGCGAAGGCAGTAAACTTTTACGTCGACGGTCTTCGGCGTTGCTTGCGGATTTTTTTAAATTTGTCGAGGCATCTGAGGTAAAAATTGTTTTTAACACCTCGTCCAAATTATCCTTCTCGATGGGCAGACATTCTCCTCTTTCTTGCGCCTGTAGAGCTTTCTTAAATAGATCGGAGCGTATAAATCGCAGGTAATTGTCGTATTTCATACGACGGAAAATTTGTTTTTGAGCTATAACAAAGACTTCTACATCTGCCGATTGCCGAACTCTCTTTTCAACAGCGTTCCTTGCTTGAGAGTCTACGTTGACTGGTTCTGTAGCAATGTCCGACAAATGTTTAGAAAATATTATTTTTGCTTGAACTATACGTTCGGCTTCGTTGTCAATGTGGCGAATGCGGTCACATGCCGTCCAAAAATATATATTCTCGGCAGAATATCCTAATCGCATGAATTCGGCAAAAGTTTTCACTCCAAGCGAATCTTCGAGGAGGTTTGCAAATGATGTAACCCACGATGAAACTCGGCTATTTTCATTTAGTTCTTTTTCACTCTTTCCGTTATCGGATATTGGCTTCCTCTGCTTGTCGACCAAATCGTTATTAAGAATATTGTCGTTGAGGAAACCGATCTCTGTAATGGGCAGACATTATTATCAATTGGAAGTTTTTCATTCTCATTTACACTGTTTCTATCTGATCGGAAAGTGCTTAATGATGACTGAACCCAAGAACGACGTTGAGACAAAAAATTTTTGTCTGTACTAGCGCATAAATCAGGTTCGCTACTAGTAAGCTCCAAATACTTCACAGATTTTAAAACTTGCTTCTGTTGCAAATCCTGCAGATTTCGATTTTCATGAGAAGTCTCATTTACAATTGTAACCGGATCATCAGTAGGTTTGCATTCCGAAAGGGAGCAGTTTTAGCTGATATTTTGCTCTTCGATGTTTTTATGAAAGAAATACCTAAATCATAAACTTGCGGACTTAATTTATCCGGCACTTGCTTAGTCGGTCTTGTTTTATTGGACGAAAGGTTCTCCGATAAAATATATGAACTATCTCGCTCAATCGACGAAGGATGCAAAAAAAGTTTCCGTTCTTCGCCATTCAACGAAACATTATTTAACGGTATGTCATCTACAGAAACATGCTGGTGATTTGTATATGAAGGAGCAATAGTCTCATCGTTTTCAAGTAAACTGAGAACATCATCGCATAAGCTTGTAGTCATGAAACCATTAATAGATGTTATTATGTTAGATACTGCATCAGCTAAAGCACGTACAGACAAGCGTTTATTCTCAGTAGATACGACTGGAGGACTAGGCTGTTCCAAGCTTAAACGCTGAAATATGCCCGTGGGTCGTGAAGAGTGCATTGCCATAGAACGTATTGGAAGGTAGTCGACTTGAGGAAAATCAACAATAACAATACGGTCTGATATGTTGCGACAGTCGTTGTGAAAGCCTATTCCTGAATCCGAATTCGAAGTTGTACTGGACATTTCACAATGATTGCAACGCTGTGTAGCCGGTGTATACATACCTCGTATTAAGTTAACCACATATTCTGAATTGCTGGGGAATTCTAAACATAAGCCTGATATAAGATCTTTTGTGCATTCTATATGAAAATCTTGAGCTCGCTTCAGGTGCAATTGATGCTCACACAACCTGGTATCTACAACAACAAATACATGACAACTATTAGATATGGTTATATGACTTGTGATGCTGCTGGAAAGCGTCGGGGCTTCATTATCCTGTTCATCATTATCTTCAAAGTTGTATGCAATGCGCTTGTAACCAAACCGAAAAAAAGATTCTCACTTTCTGATGATGAACTAACGTAGCTTAGCGTTGACGATGCATACGTAGCTAATACAGTACCATTGATCGCCTGTAGATGCAAGCTGTCTGGAAGTATAATCATTAACACAGTTAAAGGTTGACGTTTTTCTCGACGCAATTTGCGTATACAAGATGGCACGATTTGCAATTTAATACTTAGTGAAATTTGTTTCGACATTTCAATAGTTCCTAAGTAACCTACACTAGCCCGATATTCTGGTCCGTATACCAAGTACATGGCACTAACACTAGCGACGTTGGAATTGTACACTACAGCAAAAGTTGTGCAAGGCGTTATGCAGTTAGAAAGGCGAAAAGGGTACATAGAGCCATCGCTATTAAAGAGTTATGTGGTAATGGCAACCCACGTTCCTTCTGGAATTATATCAATGGTCATCGACATTCTAGTCGAAAATTAAGCGGTTGTGCGGTATGGAATGACCGTGATAGTAAAAAATACTTAGATATGCTCAAGAGCTACATTCTAATTGTTAATCCTATTACAATGCCTTCAATTCCTTTTAGTAGTATCAGTAACACAACCTTTTCATTGCATGAGCTAATGTATGTTTTGCATTCCAGAAAGAGAGCTACTGCTGCAGGTTGTGATGGAGTCAAGTATGACATGCTCACAGCACTGTCTGGAGGAATCTTTAGAATGCTTTTGCATGCAATTAACAACTGCTGGTCCACCAACTTTATACCCTCTGATTTGCGTTGCATCAAAATAGTTCCCATTC